ATATTCCCTAAATCATTGCATGTATTAATTTCTAACCACTGATCTTTTAAAGTAATCCCCTTAAAGCACCTCTGAAATGCTCCAAAAATCCCTGAGAGAGTTTCAGCCAATTACACTACAAATGTCTTTAAATAACCATTGTACAGTCATGTGGTAACTTGCAATGCAGCTCCTGTTTCTTTGTCTCTTAATTATGCAATGATCCTGTACTGCACTTGATGACTGTATTAAAATGTATAGCAAGCCAAACTGCCAGAATAGCCTTATCCAGTGAACAATGGAATAAGGACGAGCTGGGAGACCAGAGCTGTGACTGACGTGACTGGATCTTCAGCATAAGCCTTTTTAGGTGCTGAACAGATGGAATTTTTATCAAACATTACAACTGCAATTACATATAGGAAGGCAACACAGATGAGAGAAGCAAATGACAATACTATTGGTATCCCCGCTCTTGAGACATATGCAGAATAGAGGTAAAAACTACTGTTAGAAATGCCAAATTTGTTTTTGCTGCTTACACAAACCAGCTAGATCTTGCATGGTGCAGTTGTTCTTTCTAGTGAAAAGAATGAAAAGAGAGAGAGAAGTCTTGATTAACTTCAGATTGTTTAGTCTGTGCAGAAGTCTGAAGGAATTCCACTCTGTCCTCAGAAAGGCTGCTTTTATCTCCTTGTGAAAACATGGAACATTTCATTCTTAGAGGACTCTGATGGTGTTTTCTATTCTTTCAACTTCATACTGAAATGACCTAAAGTTCAAATTATCCATGATGGACTCCAATTGATTTCCAATCAAAATCTCTTATGTCATGCTTCTGAAAAATCTACTTCTTATTGGCATGCTATTTTCTCTGTTTTTACTACTGTGTGTTCTTCAGTTATGCAGCTCAAGGAGTAAAATGTATGTACATGCAAAAGCTGCCTGGAGAAATGGGCAGTGGCCAAAGGCAGCGCAATGAGGCTGTGATCAGGAAGCACGAAGCCAGAGACACAGACAGGAAAATGTTAACAGTTCAACAAAGAGAAAACAAAGCGATGAGAATTATAAATTTCGAACATCTCTTTTCTCTTTTTCCACTGCACAAAAGTCTGACCACAGATCTGTTTGATATTTATGAAGTACAACACAGCTACATACCACAGAAGGGGAAAACAAAAGCCATGCTCACAGAAATTGTGAAAACTATCTGCTGTGTGGTACCTCAGGCTGATGTGCACTGTGAGCAGTGGTGGCTTTGGATCTCCTTCCCTAGGTCAGACCTTTCCTTGTGTCCAACTGGAATGCTTTCACCATGTTCCTGGTCTGTGCATCAGACCCTTATGTACAGGTAAAATATTCAGAGGAAAAGGACTCCAGGGAGAAGGGCATTTTATTAAACTCTTCAGTTCTTCAGTCTGAGAAAAACAATAATAATAACAAAAAACTTCAATGTAATAAGAAATAGCTCAGGCTTTTGGAAAGATTTACTGGGGCAATGTTGCCTTCTGGAAGTTCCGTGTGTTAAAATGGATTCCTGCTGTTTTCTGTGTTTTTTTTTGTCTAAACTTTCCAAAACTCACCTGCCCAAGCATGAAGTTATGACCTGAACTGAGGAAATGTAAATATGCTGTTATATTTTCCTAAGCTGCCAGCAAAAGTTTGTAAACGTAGTTTCCAGATCACACCCTTGAACAGAGAACACTGTGTCCTGCTCAGAAAAAAAAAAAAAATGAAATATGTTGTCTTCTCTTTAACAGAAAATTTGAAAAGGGGCATGGCTGGACTTATAGAAATTGTTTTAATCCTTTTAACCATAGTTCCTTTAATTTTCAGTGTTATGGATTACCTCAGCTCCTACCTGACAGCTGTAAGTTCAGTAGCTATGAAAGCCTTCTAACAAGTCTGTTGCATGATTTCTGGAATAGCAGCAAGCTAGCAGGAAGGAAGGTGCGTGGGGTAGAGCAAACAACTGCCCTGCAGTTGGATGGGCAGTAGGATGGAGAGGACTGCCAGAAATTATCATGAAGGATGAGGAGAATTAGCATTTGGAATTTGTCATAGACCATAGCAACTTCATCCATGTTTTTTTGTGACAATTCATTTTCACATGGCTCTCCCTTGCTACCAAGCAAAGCTTTTTGCATTAAAGTATTTCAGATGTGCTCAACATTAGCTTAACTGATTTTTTTATGGATTCCCTCTATATCAGGACAAGGTGAAGCACTTTCCTGCAACCTCGCACACTCTGTGTTCCCCACGTCCCCGTCAGAATAGTTTTTAAAACCAAAACCTTGCAAAGCAGAGACAGCCACTGCTGTCTGAAGAGGGGGGCATTTCACACTCCATGAGCACTCCAGAAGAAATTTCAACAAAGTTTAGGCAGGCACCAGTTAATGATGCAGATATGCGGGAG